AAATGACATCAAATGCTGACATGACCATGGGGTAAGGGAAGCACTTATTCACTGTTGGTGGGTGTGAATATTGGTCTAGCCACTATGGAAGTCAATGTGTAGGATCCTTAAAAAGTTACAAATATATCTACCATAATACCCAGTGATACCATTCCAGAGAGTGTACTTGAAAGACTCCATAGCCTATCACAGAGATACCTGCTTATCCATATTCATTGCTGCTCCAGTCACAATAGCCAGGAAGTGGAAACAGCCTGGATGTCCATCAACTGATAGATAGTGGAAATGTGGTACATGTGCACAATGAGATTTTTCCACCTATATAGAAAAATGACGCTATGAAATTTGCAAGCAAATGTATGGAGTTGGAAATCATTCTGAGTGAGATAACCCAGGCACAGAAAAACAAGTGCTTTATACTCCCTCTCATATGTAAATCCTAGCTTTTAATCTTTTAATATGTATGTTTAAAATTGAAGTGCAGTAGAAGTCAGAAAACTAGAAAGGGGCCATGTAGGCAAGATTTTTCAAGGCAGGAATATAGTAAAATGCAGGTAGTTGAACGAGGAAAGGAGAAAAATGGAGCAGGAAGGATTAAATGGGGTGAAAGATGGGAGAACATGGTGGAGAAGAGAGAACAGGGATTAGTAACCAATACTAAAAAGTCTTTCACACAAGCCATTAAAAAACTATTGTATTCTTAAACACACTCATATACAAAAACAGATAAAATTGTGTTACTTTATAAGGAAGGATAATGCCTCTCTCAGATGTCACAGGCTATCAAACTAAAACCCCATTAGAGACGTGGATTACTTTCTTTCAAGTTGTGTTCAGTAGGGTCCCATTAAACTCCCAACAATACAGGCTATTGACATTGTTTTTGCGTATCTTCCCATAACTTGATGGTAACATTATTGTTGAAGTCACCATATACTTGTGTCACAGGGTAGGGAGAAATCAATCTTGCAGTGACCTAGAAGCTTCATCCCTACTGGATAGCTTTCATAGTGTTGAAGGTGCTATGAAAGCTACTGGGGGAGAAAAGTCATCAACAATCTTATCCAGCTGTGAACCTTGTGAAATACAATAACTTGTCCAGCAAAACATGCCTACTGGTACAATAATGGCATGGATGCTTTGGGAGTAACCAACTGATTTCTGATTGGATTTGGAACCCCTCAACAAGAGAAAACTTCTGCTTGGTACTGTTAACTTGGGCAAGACCCACAGCTGGGTAGGTCCTAAGATCATAGGGGAGAACCTACTCCTATTGTTAGCTAAACAGACTTAATATTAAACTGTATTCTAAATGCGTATTTTTATTCTCATAAGTAAGTGCAGCTCTCGACCTTCATCAAGAAGTTTCTTTTTGTAATAGATGGTGATTAATACAGAAGCACACAGAGAATGAGAGGCTGTCAAGTATTTGAACCTAAATAGGAAACACCTCTCCCTGAGGTTCAGTGATTATCTCAGAAGGAAGGAAAGGTTGTAAGTGGCAGAAGTAGTAATGTGTGAAACAGAGCTTTGTGGTTATAACAAGGACATTGCACACAGGAGCTCAGAGTGGCTATTACTGCACACACAAGACCTGCAGAAGATAAAGCCAGCCCAAATCCCCACACGAGTCACTGTGGGACTCATGAAGTTCCATCCTCTACTGAGGAAATGTTGGTGACTGATCATTGCTGGAGGGAGAGATAGTCATTTTATTTTCATATTTGACCGTTGATAGACTGTCCACATTGAGGTACTAGCAGCACTAAGTGAATTCAATGGGTTAAAAAAAGAATATATGAAATTTGGAGGGAAAGTGGTGAGAGGTGATGAGGTGGAGAGGAGTTAGTGCGGGATGGATTTGATTAAAATATATTATATTTATGTATAAATTCTCAAACAACATTTTTAGATGTATAGAGTCTGTGGGGCTTCTTTTCAAAGGGTTAGGTGCTAAAACCAATCATGCCTAAATTTGTGTCTCTTGCCTCCTATACTAGAGATTTCTTTTGGAGAGTCATTTTTAGTTCAAGCTACTCAAATTATCAAGTTCAAAGGGAAACAAATAGTATATTTCCAATAATTCTTTAATCATTATTGTATTATTTCAGGAAGTGGTCCTATAGCTTGAAGAAATAAAAACAAACAAATTTATACAAATTGTTAAAATGAGTTTCCTCAACAGAAGTATTTTTGCAGAATGCTATCAGTCTTTTAAAAAAGATTTATTTATTATATGTGCATGTGTGTATGTGCCAGAGTCTATGTATGAGTACCACCTGAGTGCAATGTCCAAGGAAACCAGAGAGGATCTGATACCCTGAACTGGAGTTACTGGCAGTTGTGAGTCACCTGACATAGGTGCTGGGAACTGAACATCTGGAAGAGCAGAAATGCTTCTAACATTGAGCCATCTCTTCAGCCTTAGCTCTATTAATCTCATGCCTAGGTGGCACTATAAATTGAGACAAATGAAATGTTATGGAATAATGCAGCAGGTCACACTTTCACATTCACATAAAGAAACAGGAACTAGGAAGATAGCTCAATAGGTAAGAATACTTGCAGTACAAGCATGAAGACCTGAGTTCAAATCCCTGGTACCCATGTTAAAAAAGACAGGTGTGGCCACATATGTGTTTGTAATCCCAGTGCTATGCAGGGTGAAGATAGAAAAGGAAGTCAGGAAGGGGAGTGATAGACAAACACCTGGCATTCTCCTCCAGCCTCCACATGGGCACACTTGGGCACATGTGCCCACATGCTACACCTCGCTTATGCATGCACAGGCACATACATGTGTACACACACACCACACACACACACACACACACACACACACACACACACACACACACACACACATATCCTGGGATACCAGGACTCTGATATTAAACTGCATCTGCCATTATTCCTCCCTGCTGGGAGTTCAACTTACTCCTCCAAGAGATTCTTTTTTTTTCTTTAATTATAAAGCTGTTGGCTCTTGGCTAAGGTTTCTTATTGGCTAGCTCTGACTTAATTATTAACCCATTTCTATCAATCAAAGTATTTCCATGTGGTCTTGTCTTAACAGAGAAAGGTCTAGGGACCTTTCTGGCATCCTGTTGCGTCTGTTCAGTGTCTTCACAGAGAAGAGAAGAGGAGAGTGATTTCCTGTCGGTCCCTGCCTATATTCTGATTTTGCCCAGCTATGTCACTTGCTGTCTGTCTGTACAGACCTCCACATCTCTGTGGTTAGCTAGTGGCAGTTTCTGCCCAGCTACATCACTTCTTGGGATCACATGTCAATTCCTCTCTACCTATGCTTCCCAGAATCCTCCCCATATCCTAGACACCTATCTTGCCACCCTATTGGCCAACAGTGTTTTATTCATCAACCAATAAGATAAACATATGCACAGAACAACATTCTCCATCATCTCCTTTTTCTATCTAAATAAAAAGAAGGGTTTAACTTTAACATAGTAAAATATATAACAAAACAGTTATCATGTAAGAACTATAGTTACAATATTGATTCTATTAACAGCAAGATTCAAAGAAAATATTCTATCATCTATCCTATCTTTGTGAATTTAAAATTTTATATGTAACCTATCTATTATCATTACTAATGAAAACCATAACCGTAACTATCTGTCTTCAACTCCATCAAAGACTACAGAAGGATAATATATATACTATAGAATTGACAGAGACATCTCATTGCCTGGTCAGTCACCCAAAGTTCCTCTGTAACATTGGAGCATCCATCTTCAGCCCATACACCACAGTGTATCTGACAGACTTTTCAGTGAAGCAGGAAATTTGAAGTGATCCCACCTGTATTGATAGTTTGTCAGTCATTTTTCTCTGTGTCCTGCAGAATATCTGGCAGACACTTCCATGAAGTAGGAACCATTCAGGACTGTCCCATCTTGCTTTGCAAGTTCAGCAGTCACTCTGCTGTGTATTTTCCATCTTTACATGACTTACTCAATTATTTATTATTACCCTATTTCTTTTACTTTTATTTTTTTCTTTCAAGAGACAGGGTTTCTCTGTGTAACTTTGGCTGCCCTGGAATTCACTCTGTACATGAGGCTGGCCTTGAAATCACAGAGATCTGCTTGTCTCTGCCTCCCAATTGCTGGGATTAAAGGTGTGTGCTACCACACCCAGTTCCTATCTTTCTTTTTTTCCCCAAGCCTACATATATTTTTGAACACATTTTAAGTCCTTTAGAGGTTTAACTTCATCTGAGTCTGTCTTCACTGTAAATCTTTACCTTCTTCTGACCATGCATCTTTTATCTGCTAAACAACATTGCTGAAATCAAAGCTGAGACTGTTTTAACTGCTGTCTTTCCAAGATGGGGCCATAACCTTACCACCAGCACTGGGAGCTGTGCTCACCACCTTGGTCTAGCCACTATCAATCAGTATGCTGATGGCTTGGAGAGGTGGTCACTGCCACTGACAGCAGCTCATACACACCATTCAGTTGTTAACAGGACCTCTTAAAAGAGCCATGCAGTTTTTCATCACTAGATCCTGAAAGGGGTAAACTGAACTCAAAGGTTTCACTTCTAATAATTTAGAAATAAAGGGACCAGACCCTCACTTAGCCCCTGCTTTAGCAGCCACGACAGGCTACAGAAAAGACATGTAGGCCTCTGACACAAAGAAACTCCAGACCCTTTGGCCTCCCGGAGCCTAGGGCCAAAATTGAACACAAAGAAACTCTAGGCCCTCCCCCACCCCCAGCCTCCTAGGTACTTGGTTCCTGGGAATTGTTTGGCCACAAAAGAAACTCCAGGGGAGACCAAAAACTCCCTTGTAATCTTCAGGATACAGTTCTGAAAACTGTTGGTATCTATGAACAGGTCACCTGCAAGTAACAAGACAAAGCCATAGAAACCACAGAATGTTTCCTCTCAGCACTGACCAATGAGAACAATTGGTACACAAGTATTTGTTGGGAGAGATCTTATGTATCCACAACACTGGTCACAGGTATGTGAGGGGGGAGAGATAAAAGGAAAAGGAAGGGGCACACGCTCTATCTTGGGGCTACGATCATGGTCAGAGACCAACAGAAGGAGCATGCTCAGTTCTTGGCTTCTCACGTAAGTGACTTCTCTCTCTCAAATAGAGTATCCTACTACCCCCTTCCTGGTATCATGGTTGTGGCTTGTTTCCATCTTCAGGTATTTCATGCCAAAATATGACTTGGAAAAATTCTCCTAATTGTTCCCAAATGTCAACCCATCAGAAACCTACTGATGTAATCCTGTAACTTTTGTCTTTAAAATCTAGCAGTAAACAGGGAACTTTGCTCCCTCTGGAGCCTGCTGCATCAGCTTGCTAGACAGGGTCCCTGCCATGGTTGGATGAACAATCAATGAAACCTTGCTTTTGCAGTTTGGTGGGTCTGTCTTCCTGGTGGTCTCTGGGGATCTTTGTGACTTGGGCACAACAGGCCCCACTGCCACTTCAGCCCCAAATGAACACACAAGACTTATATTAATTATAAAGCTGTTGGCCATTGGCTAAGGTTTCTTATTGGCTAGCTCTGACTTAACAATTAACCCATTTCTATCAATCTAAATATTTCTACTTATCTTATTGGAGAAAGGTCCAGGGACCTCTCACTCCTCTGGCATCCTACATCTTGTTGCATCTGCTCAGTGTCTCCACAGAGAAGAGAAGAGGAGCCTCAGAGACTCTTGTATGTCAGATGTCAGGATGGAGCTTCCCAGAAGGCTTTGCTCGATAGAGCCCAGGGTGCCCTGGAAAGCCATAAGGTACCCCAATCTAAGAAGAATCTTTGCCTGTTTGCCTGTCTAACATCTGCTGGAGACTTGTACAGCTGTCCTCTCCAAACATCTCCAACTCTAGGCCCTAGCTCTCAACACTGTCCACCTTAAAGAGGTGCCCTCCTAATCCACAAATAAGGCCACAGAGGAAAGACTGGAAATAACTTAACACAGCACTTTGAACCTGGGGCAGGATGGTGAGCAAGGCTGAGACAGAATCTCAGGCCACTTAATCTGTATGTGATCTGTTCTCGAAGGTTAATGAATCTGTAATTGGAAAAGACCAGCCAGCAGGTACAGGCAAGTGTGCCAGATGTTCTTTTCAGTGATTCCCATCACCACTGTTCACATGAGATGACCTGCCTCTCACAGCTTACTATTCAAGCTGCAGGTGATGACCTGCTTTCTCTAACTCAGAGTCAAACAGGAATCCCTCTTGTTTGCATCTGCTACTTCCTGTCACAGTGCCTTCTCCCTCTTTCCTCAGACCCCATCTGTTCCTACTCCTCCACCTCCTCTCACATAAATGGCCCCTGTCTGAAACTATTCTTGTGACATATACATATTGTAATAAATATATAAATAGAACCTACAGACCTTTTATTGAAAATTCATACAATATATTCTTATTATGATTTTCCCTCTTCCCACTTCTCCACCCATTCAAGTTCACACCTTCTTTCCCTCTGTCTCTCTTTAGAAAACAAACAGGCAAACAAAAAACAAAAAGAGCAAACAGAAAATTTTAATAAGTGAAGAAGCACAAGAAACACACACACACATTAAAAACACAAAATCAAAGCCATAATACCCAAGAAAAAGACTAGTAAGATTTAAAATGCTCAAACAAAGCAATAAGAGCCAAAACACAAACAAACAAAAACTTCAAAGCCATGGAAACTGGTATAAGATGAAATTTCAAGTTTTGATTTTTTTCCCCTGATGATGAAGGAAGTTGAACACGACATTTAAATATTTCTCAGATATTTGTGTTTCATATTTTCAGAACTATTTAGATCTGTACACCATTTTAGAAATTGGTTATTTGTTTTCTTTCTTTTATGAGCATTGGTATGAAGGTGGCAGATGCCCTGGAACTGGAGTTACAGTTGTAAGCTGTTATGTGGGTGCTGGGAATTGAACCTGGATCCTCCAGTGCTCTTAAGTCCTGAGCCCATCCAGTTTTTGCTTCTTTACATATTTTAATATTAACCCCCTAATGAATGCATCATTTGTACAGATTCTTCCCGATGTTGTAGGCTGCTGCTTTGTCTGAATGACAGTGTCCTTTGCCATACAGATTTTTCAGTTTTATGAGGTCACATTTGTTTATTTAAATTCTTTTCTCATAGATTACATCCTGACCACCGTTTCCCCTCCCTCCACTCCTCCCATTTCCCCACCTCCACTCTCTTCCAGACCCAATCCTCCTGTTTCCCTTTTTTAATAAATAGAGCAGGTGAGATCCCATTTATTAATTGTTTTTCTTCCTGCCTGTGCTATTGGTTCCCATTCAGAAAATCCTTTCCTGTGCCCGTGAGTTCAAGATTATACCCCTCTTTTTTCTCTACCAGTTTCGGAGTATCTGGTTTTAAGTTGAGGTCCCTTATTCTTTTGAAGTTAAGTTTTGTGCAGGGTGATAAATGAGTTTCTATTTACATTCTTCTATGTACAGCCATTCAATTTGATTAGTACCATTAGTTGAAGATGCTGTCTTTTTTCCAACTTCTTTTTTTGGGGGGTTTTTACAAGACAGGGTTTCTCTGTATTGTTTTGAAGGCTATCGGTCTAGCCCAGCCTCGAACTCACAGAGAACCGCCTGCCTCTGCCTCCCGAGTGCTGGGATTAAAGGCGTGCGCCACCACCGCCCGGCTTTTCCAACTTCTTTATAAAAAAATCAAGGAAAACTTTGTGACTCAATGGGCCATACTACAGCTCCCACAAGAGACTTGTTTTTCTTTTGGTTTGCTTGTTTTTATTTTTGTTTTGTTTCTTTGGTTTGGTTGTGGGTTTTTCTTTTAAATTGGTATTTGATTTGGGAGGGAGGTTGCAAGGGCAGAGGGCAGGTTTGAGGACAAGGGAAGATAAGTGGGATCATAATTCATGATGTGTAATCAACAAGGAATCAATAAAAGTAAAAATAAAAATCAAGTGTCTGATTAGGAAGTCCTGTGTATATGTAAATAAAGCACTGTTGGCCAATAAGGAAGCAAGATAGGTGGGACTAGGAGTCTAGGAGGATTCAAGGAAATGTAATCCCCGTCGCCATGTGATTCCTGGGAAGAGGGGACACAAGTCTGTGTTCTCGGAAAGATAAGTCCTTATAAAAATATATATTGGTGATTATGGGTCAATAATTAAGTCAGAGCTAGCCAATGAGAAACAATAACAAATGGCCAACAGCTTATAATTAATATAGTGTCCTGTGTGTTATTTGGGGGTTCGGCAGGGCGCTGGCACCAGGCAAGAAGGCTACACTTTACAAGTGTCTATAGGTGAGTGGTCTTATATATGAGCCTTCAATTTGATTCCATTGATCAATGTCTCTGCTTTAGTAACAATGCCATGTTTTTTATTTTATTGTTTTTGTTTGTTTGTCTTTTACACTATAGCTCTGCAGTATAACTTGAAGTTGGGGGTGGTGACACCTCTAGTAGGTCTTTTATTATTCAGAATTGTTTTAGCTACCCTGCTTTTGTGCATGTGTGTGTGTGTGTGCGCGCGCGTTTCTACACAGAGTTGAAAATTGTCCCTTCAATATCTGTGAATAATTGTGTTGGAATTTTGATGGAGATGCATTGAATCTGTAGATAGACTTTTGGAGGATAGCCATTTTTGCTATATTAGTCCTACTAATCCATGAGCATGGGAAATAGTTCCATCTTCTGATACCTTCAGTTTCTTTCATCAATGTCTTTACATTTTTGTTATACAAGGCCTTCACGTGCTTGGTTAGAGTCATTCCTAAGACATATTTCAAGGCTATTGTGAAAGGTATTATTTTCCTGATTTCTTTCTCTATTTGTCATTCATATATGGGGAGGCTACTAGTTTTTATGAGGTAATTTTGTGTGCTGCTACTTCTCTGGAAGTGTTTATCAGTTGTAGAAATTTCCTGGTGGAGCTTTTAGGGTCTTTTGTGTATAAAATCTTACTCCTGAAAATAGGTACTTTGACGTCTTCCTTTCCTATTTGTATTCCTTTGATTGTCAGTTGCTCCATTGCTCTAAGATTTTAATACTATACTAAATAGGTATGGAGAGAATGGGCATCCTTATCATGTTCCTAATTTTAGCAGAAATGTGTTGAGTTTCTCTCTGTTTAGGTTGATGTTGGCTGTGGGCTCAAGTTCATTGCCTTTATTAGGTTGAGGCATGTCCCTTGTTCCCTAGTCTCTCCAGGACTTTTATTATGAAGCATTGCTGAATTTTGTCAAAGGTCTTTTCTGCATCTAATAAGATGATCATGTAATTTTTACTTTTCAGTCTATTTATACAGTAGATTATGTCTATTGATTTATATATATTGAATCACTTCTGCATCTCTGGGATGAAGCCTACTTGGTCATGGTGGATGATTTTTTGTTGTGTTGTTGGATAGAGTTTGCAAGTGTCTTCTCCCCTCAATATATGTTTTTATTTAAATTAGAAACATGAATGCTTCACATGTCAATCCCATCTCCCTCTCACACCCTTCCTCCCTTGTCCCTCCACCAGCACCCCTCCAGCCCCCCACCCAATCCCCATATTATTCCCCAGGGAGGGTGAGGCCCTCCTTGGGGGGATCTCCAGAGTCTGTCATTTCATCCAGGGCAGGACCTAGGGCCTTCTCCATGTGTCCAGGCTGAGAAAGAGCATCCCTCTATTTGGAATGGGCTCCCAAAGTTCATTCATACTCATGGTAAACACTGATCTACTACCCAAGGGCCCAGAGTTTTCTGAGGCCTCCTCACTGACATTACATTGATGGAGTCTGGATCAGTCCCCTGTTGGCCTCTCAGCCATCAGTTTGGGGTTCAAGAGCTCCCCCCTTGTCCATTGAGATGTCTTTGTGGGTTTCACCAGCAGTCTTGACCCCTTTGTTCATCATTCCTCCATCTCTGTCACTGGGTTCCAGGAGTTCAGTTCAGTGTTTAGCTGTGGGTATCTGTCTCTGCTTCCATTAATCCCTGGATGAAGGTTCTAGGATGGCATATAAGGTAGTCATCAACCTTATCATCAAGGAGGGGCTATTAATGTAGTCTCTCCACTACTGCTTAGTTTTCCAGTTGGTGTTATCCTTGTAGATCTCTAGAGATCTCACTAGTGTCA